CTGGAAGTGTACCAGAAGTGCTTATGGTCCACTTCTGGGTCTGCTGCCGAGCATGCTGGGGAGCCCCCATGCTTCTGTGGGATACTCCATGTGCCCCAGCACTGCAGCATTCACAAACCCCTGCTACCTAGAGATATGTAGAAAAAACATTTAAAGCTGTGTCTATGTGCGAATCTTTGAATCTCTTCGAATCAATTCTGAGGGTTCCAATTTGATTCGAAGAGATTAAAGGGTCCTCTGATTTGATCAAGATTTGAAGACTCGGCCACTGAATCTGGTCAAATCTCTGCAGAATCTAATCAGGGACTGAAGATTATATGTGTGTATATATATACACATATAATATATATATATATATAGAGAGAGAGAGAGAGAGAGGTGTGCATATGAGGGTACATGCAGACATTTCACATTCTTTTGTGATCATGTGACTGGCTTTGAGACACATGATTGTACATTGGGAGCAGCTGCACCAGGAACCTGATCTAAGTAGGAGGGGCAGGCAGGATCAGGAGGGCTAGCAGATCCACAGGGATAGGAGCGGGGGAGGGATTGAGGGGATGGCTTATGGGTACATGGCGGGGTTTGTCCATCTGGGGGGAATTGTCAGGGAACTAAAAATAGCCCAGTCACAAGGTTGGAGTGGTAGGAAGAGCAGAGCTTCAGGGCTGGGGCAAGTGACTGGGATTTCCCATCCCCAGGGCTGTGCTCAGACTATGTGCAGACATTCAGTAGATCAGTCTAACTCATTCCCAATCTAACTTGGCTCACCTCCTCAGGTAAACTAATTTAGATCAGTCCAGCTATTTTTTTCACAATTTAACCTCCCCGAATATTTGGACACATTGGCACTTAGATCGACTTAACCCTAGTTAGGATGAGCTAAATATAATGTCTGCACATACCATAGTGTGCATGTACATATTTATTTGGAGACTTTTATTTATAGGCAGATTAATGATATGTTAACTGAAACATGTCTTCAAACTAGTGTGGTAATTCAAAATGAACATGTGTCTTGAAATGACATTAATTCTCTGACCTGATCCCTTAAAAGCAAATCTTAAATAAAATAACCTTCCATTAGACACACAGTACAGCCACTACTGCATTTCATAGAGGGTACCTGTTATTCCTAAGTAGAATGCTCTGCTAAGATTTACAAATAAGTATAAAAGTACAAAACTTATTGATGTTATGCTGACAAATATTAGAGAGCTGCATATAATTATTTAACTTCAGGTATTAACTACTGTGAACTGAAAAAAATACCTCTTTGAATTTATAGCTACAGCTTTCATCAAACTATAATTACAATTAAGAGGTTATCACTTGCTATTGTTCAAATATCACTCTATACTCCATTTAAACATGGTTTTTGTTCTGGGTCTGCAGAAGTATCTTCATAATTATAGGAGTGTTATAACCTGCTTTTTGTAATCTGTTGATTTGTATCTCTGAGGCAGGATTTTCATGCTACATTCATTACTTAATGCATTATCTAATTTACATTTTTTGTTTGAAATTTGTTTTGTTTACTTTTTATGAAGTTTGTTTTTTGTTTACTTTTCATTTTTCTTGAAACTGCTATATAAAATAAGAAAGAATAAATATTGGCCCATTTATCCACTCCTAACTTAACAAAGCTTCTAAGACATAAATGAAAAAAGTGTTCATTTTAAAAGTACAAAATAAGTTCCAAGATAAAATTCTCTTTATACTAAAAATTGAATCACTATCACTACTGTCCTGAAAAGACACAGTACAAACAGAAACCAAATGTGCAATATTTCTCCAGTCTGCATTAGGTTAAACATCTCTCTACTAACCTAAGCCAAACAGCTCTTTGCTTCTAGTCTGGGTTCTTAAAAGAACATCTGCTGATAGGTAAGCTGAACTGTAATGGAAGTTTCCTATCTACATGGGCAAAGATCAATAGGAATTCATCTAAGATACTGGTTGCCAACCTCGAGACACCCCTCAGTAAACTTGAGGCACCCCTTGGAAAATGCCATTTCCTAGTTTTCATTCATTTTTTACTACAGAAAAATAACAGAACAATTGTTCCATTGCAAAGAACTCAGAAAAACTACAACAGGTCAGAATCTTTTTATCATTACAGGTTCCTATTTGAAATATCTGGGTTTATTTTGTGAATCATGTTTGCATGCCTAACAGTGCTAATATTGTGTGGCATCCCAACGTACCCTTGAAACTCCAGGGTTCTGCAGCACCCTGATTAAGAATAATTTATTTTAATCTAAGAGCGTTAAAACCGAAGATAGAACTGCACAGTATCTGATTTTTACTTTACATAGTACAGAATTGGATTTGTAGATATTTGTGGATATGGTAACTAGAATTCTGAAACAGATATAAAGGGTGACCATAATTTCTTCAGGAAAAAAAAAAGAAAGAAAAAATACAGTACACCAATTGAACCAAAACATTGATTTAATATTACTGGCTGTGTCTACAAATGTAATTGATGCAAATGAACATACCCCAGCTCAATTTGAGCCAAAGTAAACTAACCCCAATATCACCATCTACACATATGTTTAAACACAGTAATTTACTGTGCTGCCAGATACCATTTGTATCTTATGGGGCTATCTAGCAGTGCAGTAAATTAGTCTACTCTGCCCTAATTGCCGTGCATTACTGTGCGGCAAATTAGTTTGCTGCACAATAAAATGTCTCGTGTAGACGTGCCCACTGTGAATTCAATCTCAACAGTTAATTAAAGTAGTAATCCCAAACACAGCAGTCCTTTACTAATCAACTAAAAATGAATATGATTCAATGGCAGAGAAACAAAGCTGGTGTCACTTGGGACTCACTCCTGCAACAAACGCTGGCTCTGATTCAGCAAAGCACTTAAGCAGATGCTTAACTTTAATAAGACTGCTCTTGCATATGAGTGCTCAGCGTATTTTAGAATTGAATCTTTAATGTAGCATTGGTCCCTTAAATATCTAAAGGAGGAAACCAGCAAGACTTTACTGCATTCATATGTTTGCCTTCTACAAGAAAAGTATGCAGCAATTACATTCACTGGAGCAATGAAACAGGGAGAATTAAGTAGTCATTATTATATTTCTAATCCTCTGATTCTAAAGAATTTGTAAACTAGTAAGAAAAATGAAGTGGAGATTCTAGTTCTCCAGCAAGTGTTTAACACTCAGAAATAAAAGTCAACAAATTGCTAAATTTATATACATTTCAGTTTCATATAATTGTGTAAAAACAAATGTGGAGAATGTTTTATGCCTTTGCTTGGAAGAAATTTCATGTTGCTGAAACTCAGAACTGTTTTCTCTTATGTCAGAATTCTACATTCCTCGATATGCACTCTGCAATAATTTCTGTCAGGCTAATTCTATCACCAATACAATGAATAATTTTGAATAGTAGTATTAATATTTTTTCACTGTTATTAGTGCTATAATTCTGAAAAAAGAATTATAAAGACTAATACATATGATAATGTTCAAAAATAAAATACATACAAAAACCTAAGTTGGTATCTATCTATACCATTTAACAATTCAATTAGACTACCAGAAAGAATATTACAAAATTATTAGCATGCTAAGAAATGGGGTCAAGAAGCAGTACAAGGACAAAGTCCAACCTGATTACAGTAATATTTTGTAATAAACAAAAGCATCCCACCCAAAATGCAAAAGGAAACTCTGTTTCTTTCTTCAGTCATAACCTCTTTCAAAAGGATTTTATAATAACATTTAGGTGAAAGATGACCCTGAAGTGTTGCAAGCTGTATCACAGGCTGATTTCTGAACCCGGTACTATTTCCCAAAATTATATTGAGACAATGACTGCTTATAAGAATGCCACATAGGAATAGTAGAAAGTAAAATAAATTTAGAATAGTGCTGTATTTCAAATCTATGTTGATAAGTATGTAAAGGAAAGTTTCACATTGAAAATATTGTAATAAGGCAATTTCATTTAAAAGCTTCTAAAGATCATAATTCCTTAAATCATTTAATCGTAACTTTAACTAATGATAAAAGAAAGATCATAATTCCTTTTTGTTCCTTTTTCTTGTTGTTTCCTTACTATTCAGTGGGTGCATCTATGAGAGACACTACGTCACTGTAGTGACAAGCTATGGTGATGTAGCTTGTTGCTACAGTAACATAGTGTTGGCGGGTACTAACCATGACACCACCACTACTGAGCAGTAGCAATGAGCTACTGCACGGTAGCTCATTGCTATTGCACAGTAGGGTCAAAATGACCCATGCACCATTACTGCATAGTCAGAGGCACATGTAGACACACCCAGTGTGAATAAAATATGTAAATTCCTAGTAAGTCACATTATTATTGTGGCATTTCTTATAAGCTACTGTATAGTTTATGGAGTAGGAGCTCTGAAAAGTTAATCCTATGCACATACAATATCTGTGCAGTTTATGAGAGGAAGAGGGAATCATATAGTCAGGAGAGAAATCCATCAAATAAAACAAGCTAGGTGTTCTTGACATACCATTGACTAAGCTGGTATTTGTATTATCAGTGGCATTTGCGCCTGCTGCATCATCAGTAGTTGAAGGAGGGTGGGAGGAGGTATGGGAAGAATCTACTGAGCAATAATGGATAGAAAATAATAATAATAATAATAATAATAATAATAACAACAACAACAACAGAAACAAATTAACTTGACAAAACAATAACATGTATGGACTAATATAACTCTGCTTTCTCCAAAACAAATTTGTTTAGAGTAAAAAACACAATGCATAAACGAAAAGTCATTATACAGATGTTACCAAAGTCAGAAAACACGTACATTAAATATTTTTAAAAAAATGAAAAACACATTCATGCTAAGTAAACAGAGTTCATGAGAATGAACTGTACCTACTACCATGTAATTTTATAACTCTACTCTTGTATGTGGACATTTTATATCCTTTATTTTTTTAAAAAATTTCAGAATGGCTTGAATAGAAATTGTGTTGATAAAATGCGCTGTTAGTCTGTGGGATTTGAAATATATGACATTTTACATTTTATAAATTATTAGAAGTTGTGTTATTGTCACCTATTGAATGTGCTCCCTGATTTCAAATGGAGAAATGGCATTTTTCTGTACTACATATATTTTGGGAAATACAAGATGTACAAAAGCTTGTCTAATTTGGTCTCTTTTTGAAAAGTACTCATTATCCTACACAATTATAAGATATTGTGCAATTATATATATGTTATGATAAAATGAATCATAATAGAAAATAAACTCTCACTCTAGATATTAGTATTATCCCCTATATTAGGGGAATATGGTCATATAAATGTACCTTCATAACTGGAAGAAAGAAAATTCCCTGAAGATTTTATTTACTATTCATATGTATATGCACTAGAACTGTGAGTATAATTCTCAATGAATAACTGATTCTGTGAATTTTGCCTTTTTTAATGGTTCACTGTTCACAAGCAAACACAAAATTTTCACATTTATTGTTTGAAATTCATGTACTTTCTAAAGAAAAAGTTTTTGGTTCATAATTGACAATTTCACATTCTGCAGGTTAGTTATCCAAGAAAAGCCATGGTATTTCATATACATGTAGCAAAGTGAAACAAAAAAAATAAAAGAACAATAAAATACAGAATTTGAATTCACCATGTTTTAATATTTACATGCCAATTTCAAATTGTATATTTGATTGCTATAGTCATAATGAACAATGGTATTGGTTGCATACATTTATTTTCTCTGCATTTGAATACCTATGTAAACCCACACAAAACAAAATGCTAATAGTAAATAGCATATTTTAAAATTTAAGTTACTATAATTTGCATTTGGAGAATAATAATTTGTAGCACCAATAAAGCTTTAGCACTCAACTGTTTGCAGAAAAGAAACAAGAAATAGTCTCAAATTAGATCATACAGAAATTAATTTTTAATTGGCAAAAAATATCCCAAGATAATTATTTTAACCCTGATTTCTACCACAGTTTGGCAGAGGTTGCAGCTACAAGCCTCTGCTGTTTATCTAATTTCTTACTGTACCTGGAAGCTGTTGTCCATCTTCCTGTTTCACACCTGTATGATGATTTTTACAAAATGTTAATGATGGATAAAGGCATGCAACTGAGAGAACTGAAATGCAGATACATGCAACAGACAGGATTTGCCGGCTTATATACAATGAGAGTATTTTTGATTTCATGACTGTATCCCACAAGCAGGAGTGCATAGGCACACTGCTGCACCCACGCACAGAAGTTTGTAGGGTTAGATCCTTAAGTCTGAAAAAAACTGACTGGTGTTTTAGTTGTGTGGTTCCAGTCAGCGTTAATGTCTGTTATATGAAATTCTTGCACATTTTTCTAAAAAAAATATGCCTTTCAGCACTAATTTGTAATCATATTTTGTTCTATTTCTTTTCTATGCAGATTTCCTACTTTTTGTTACAGGATACAAACAGTGGAGCATAGTGTTTATATCAGCACTAAGCAAGAGGGTGTACACAGGGAAAATCTCCTAACTCAAAAGCAAACACGTGCAAGAGGGCATTGCAGACACGTTATAGCAGTTTTAAGCAGATACTGGAGTTTAGATCCCACTCACCATGTTCATGTGAACTACCAAAATAGAAGTTGTCACATCTGCCTAAATGTGTTTTTTTTTTTTTTTTTATTTTTTGCTTCTATTGCCTTCAATGAGTACAGCATCATGCCTTCAGATATTGATAAAAAACCAGAACATGAAGCTTTGGGAAACGTCAAACATTCTCTCATTAAGTACCCAGATTTGGATGATTAGTGGTTACTCTGCATCCCTGTGGAAACTGTATGGTAAAAAATTTGTAACGTAATTTCAAACGTAAAAATATATGTTCCTTTGCAAATATAGAGTTGAGTGCCACCACCTAAGTGCCCCACATAATAGTTATTGCCAATACTGATCACATTGTTAGATTGAAGGTATAGAAATCGGGAAATTTTAGGCCCTAAAAACCATTTAAGTCTGCCCCACTGGTATTCATCTTCAAACATATGCAATGCAAGGCAAAATTAAATGACACCCCCAGATCAGACATAGATCTAGTAAAAACATCAGGTGATGTTACAATTTTTTTTATCAGTGGAAATGTATGAAATTTGGGGAATTTTTTAAAGTTGTATTTGTTGACCCTTAAAATAAATAGGATGCTGGACATTTGTACTCAGGTTAAAAGTACAGCAACTGGACTTTAACAGATGACAAAATGACTGTGTGTACATAAATCTAGACAGAAGCACATTAAGCAGTTTATCCTTACAGTGTAGCCTTAAACTGTATTTTTTTCTGACTTTATCATACAACAAGGTCTTTAGACTTCTAGTTTTCACTGCCTGAAATCTGAAGATAACTATAACCCTTTATTAACCCCCACTAGGCATGCCTACATGAGATGTTTACTGCACAGTTAACCATACAGTAAAGTCTCAGTGTCTACATATGCACCCCTATTAGGGCACATGAAACTAAATAACCTCCACAGCAGAATAGGAATTATAAATACAGGTACTACCCTGCTGCAGACTTTATTCATGTACAGCAGCACACATGTAGATGCTGACTGGCTGGCTGGGGCATGAGGGTGCTTCAATGCAGGGGCACATTGATCCCAGTAGGAGCAGCCCCAGGCTGGCGGGCTGACTGCCCAGGCCCCCAGCCATCTGGGGCTGCTGTGACCCAGTTCAATGTGCTGCAGTCCAAGCACATGTGCAGACACATGCCTGGGAGCTTCCTAGGAGCAATAAACTGGAACAATAAGCTCCACAGTTTATTGCTGCCCCCTAATGGCATGTATAGATGTGCCCAGTGTCACTAATATTGCTTCCAATATTCTGACTGGGACCTATCAATTCTAAGGAAATAATTGTCTGTAACCACTGAAGGCCATGTCCTGTTCCATCTATTGGGCATCTAAGTGTACGTAAGTTCCTAAGAGTGATCCTATTCCATCTTGCTTGGGACCCTGAAAATTCATTAACGCATCTACTTGTGTAACAAACCAGAATTTTCCCTTTAAGACTGTTGCAAAAAAAGCAGTGAGGAGGAGGAGGACCTACCCACCTTTTGTAGGAACACTATTTCAGAGGATCAAATATGGTGGAATAGGATTGCATTTATGTGCCTACATACACTTACATGTTTAATAGGTATGTGCTTATCCAGAAAGTTAATCCATAACAAAAAAATCTACAAAACAGACTATTACCATTTAATTAACAGAAAGGCACAACATTTCCTTCTTTTCTTTTTTAAACTTAAATAAGTGTGTTGTTTCTATGTCAGTCTTATGAATAATAGTACATATATATAAATGCATATATTAATGTGTTATATCTATTTTTATGAAAAGTTGCAAATTGTAAATTTATAGGAAATTATTAAAAGGTAATAAGCACAGTATATGTCATTCTTTCTTTTCATTTGATTACATGCTGCAAGATTGCAACTTTAAACTGAATACAAAAAAAATCTAATCATTGTATAAAAAGCAAGAATTATTGCATTCCCTCATAACATGCATAAGGAAGTTTATATAGAAAAAAGTACTTTAAATACTGTTTCAGTTCTCAAAAATTGAAGCAATTTTCATCTCTGAAGAGTCTATGAAAATAATTTGGGAGCACCTACATGTGTTCTACGGGGGTTACCTTTCTTATCTTTCTTTTCTTCTTCTTCTCCACCAGCACCTAACAGAGTAAAGATGATGCCCGTCTGAGAATTCACACCAACAGCAGTGACAACCATTCTCCCAGATCCCTCCATGACATGGGTACCTGAAAATGAGAAGTTAATATAAAATGTAGAAGTTAGTATATGTTTATATTCATAAAAATGTTTCTAAAGTCTGATTAGGCACAGATTCTGTCAGAGTAGGCAGTGGACCAGATTCTGTTCTTAGTTACACTGCAATAAACCTGGGGTAATTCTACTAATGACACCCACCAAAGAATCAATCCTTGTCTTTGTAGTTAACAAAAGTTTACTACATATCTCAGAGTACTCATAAACTGGCATATTTTCTTATCCGGCACCCCTGATTCCCCATTGGTGCCGGATAACAAAGCTTTTGCTGTATTAGGAAACTGTTCAATGTATAATTTTCCATCTAGAAATTAACTCAATAATACGTGAATATGTAACTGCAGCTCTCTTTGAAAGACTTTTAGATACACAGCAGAGGAACAATGATTCTGAGCATTACAAGAAGAAAATCTATGAATAAAGTGAAACTTCCCAAGAAGTGGTACAAATAATGAATTTTCTATTTGGAGGAAAAAAAAGAGTTGTAAATTTTAATATAAAAGATTTATAATCAAATTAACATTAGACTCCAGTTTTACATTGAGTGTTGCTAAAAAAGTTTGGAGGGAAAAAACAAGATTATGTTATGCTGTATTTTTTAGGCAGTTTTATAAAATAATGAGAAAAAGGCTGGTTAGACATCAGAGTATGACAGTAAATATGCAAAGGAAAGTACCAAACTTTGCCAACTCAGTCATTTAATGTGGTGATAAAGTCTTAATCTTAAATCATTAGTCAGCTAATGATCGGATAAAAGGTTTAAAGACCAGACAAGGCTGGTATTGTTTAAATCATCTACCTGCATATGTACAAAAGAATGAAAACCAAACAGCAAGTTACTAATGTTGCCTGCAATTTTCTAATCCTTCTTGTCATTTCTGTTTAGGATTTGTATTCCTTTCTCTGTATGGTAATGATTGCCCAGTTTTTAATAATGTGATTTTGGATTTGTGGAATATCTAGTAACTATACATCAATGTTACATACTTATCACAACGCATTTTACTTTCTTTTTCTAGTATTTTCCCTCTGTGCCCAAAATGAACATAATTAATAACTAGATGGTCACATTCATACTATTTAAATTAGAATGTGTCAGGCTAATTAATATACTATGCAGACCTTATTCAAGTTCAAATATTTTATAGAAGTGGAAAGATTTAGAAAAAAATATTACGTGCAGATGAATGTTAGGATTTTTTTTAATCCCTCAAAACCGCCCTTTTTGGAATGGAAAGATAGTGGCACTGAGACTCTGGTTTATTTTGCTCCTTTCTGCATAAATAAATAGTATTATTTAGGCTGCACCATTCCTGTCCATTGAGGATAGGCAGGATTCACCCTTATATCATGTACTGATATGTACCCTAGTTACCGAGATAGACTCTGTATTTTACATGATGTATTGGAATGCTTACTATATGCTTAAAATGCCTTAATTTGATAAGGGCTATTGGAGGGACAAACAGGAAACGCAGTAGCTTTCCCATTAAGGACATCTTGAAACACGTCTGAAAGACAATAGGATTTGTCAAAAGGACTAAGCAGCTTTCAAAAACACTTCCTGAACAGGTAGAGAGAACTGATTTGTAAATTAAGTGAAAAGACTGTCAGCTACAGCCCATGGAGGGTCCATAACAATCTTAGACTAACCAAATTTCTCATGTGGGAGGTGAATATGCACCCGATAAAGCAATACTATAGACTGTACACACATTTAGCTTACAGTTTTCTCTTAAGTACCTTCTGACCAAACAATAGGGCTGCTTTAATGATACTCTGATCACTGGTTACTGCCAATCTACAGGTGTTAGATAAACACTGGATTTACTACGGCACCCATGTTTAATAAACATAGGGGACAGGTACAGATATTTGACTTTTACCAGTGTAAGTGTTCTGAAACAGGTCTATCTATACCTGTAACAGAGCATAAGTTTAGCACACAAAACCGGTCTATATCCATATCAGAACAGACGTTTTCCCCGTGGGGCATTTGTCCACATAATTGGCATTTATCCTCTAAAAATGTTTGTGGTTTAATTTTCTTTTCTTAGTTTATGATGACTAAATGAGTAAAGTGGATGTGATTTACCACTTAATGGTTTATTATGATATAGCTAGTAAAACACCTGCCCTTTCAGTTCTACTTACTGCCAGGTGGCTTTTTAGGACAAGAAATGCCCAGGAGAGTCCTCCCAAAGGGCTTCACCCTCTTCTTCCCCTCACTTTTTCCAGGGGTTTGATGGGTGAAATCTTTTCGTGCAAAGGCACCCCAGAGGCTGCATGCCTTCTGTCTTGCCCTGCTTCCCCTCAGTTTTTTTTGTGCTTGTTGAAACAGTACTTTTACCTCCCTCTTTTTCTGCATGCTTTTTGCACTGGGCGCTGGGTGTAGAGTACCTTAGGGCTACAAAAGTGTACACAAGCATTGCATCTCCCACGTACTCACTTTACAAAGCTGCCTCCAGCATTTTTTTCCTGCTATGTTTTGCACAGGGAAGAGTTCTGTTTTGGCGGGTTTTTTCAAGCACTTTCCATGCCGGCGCCAGGCTGTCTGGGTTTTTTTTTTACACCAGAACAAGGCCAGTGGGGGCGGGGCGGGGCGGGCTGCCCCTCTAAGGGTCTATAAAGTTGTGGACAGGGATCCGGGTGCATATGCTGTATCCACAGAGAATGGGACTCAGCCCAGTGGGACACTTGCCCCTGGTGGCATAACTGGTTTGACTGTTTCGACAACAGTGCTAGCTGCTGATATCAGTGCAGCATTCTACTGCAGGATGAGACCGCTTTTGCAATACTTGAAACAGGACACCCTGAGCTGTTCCACAAGCAATGCATAGGTAAGTGAGACACTTGGCTATGCCCTGAGGGAGGGTGGCTTGCATTGTTTACTTACATTTCCATGTAAATAGGATTTAATTGCTGTGAATGTTGGTGCAAGCTATCCCACAGCATGAAGTCCTGCAGTCACAGGCAAGGTTTCAAGGCAGGGTGGGGGATACACCCTATGACCCTTCTCACCCCTCGTGCCTCCCCTGCACCCCACCCCCCCCGCACCCCCGCTTGCATGCAGCAGAGGTACCACTATTTCAGGGCTGCATGGCAGTTTTAGAATACAAAGTCTTATGCTCTTAACTTCCTGCTCCCTCCTATTTCTAATTCCCGAATGCTGTTTCATATGCTTCTCCTGCTGTGCACAGCAGGTAAAAGAGAAAAACAGAAGCTTTAGATACTTGCTGATGCCACTTCCATCTCCAGTAAAAATGCTGGCAATGTCACTGCCAGGTGCCTCTTCACTACTCTTAATATGATTTTACTGAAAAAAGCAAGTGGGACTTCACCATTAACCTCTCTCTGCCACGATGTAGACAAGCCCTCGTATTCTGTGAATACATCAGCAACTAAAGCTTGGTCAACCTAGTCCAAGCAGCTACTTACTGAAATATGCTTCATTAGCTGTTTTCAAATATCATGTACATAATGTTCCTTTTTCTTTGTTTCTTTTTATGTAGCCATTTTTTTAAAAACTAAAATATTATTACCTTACTTGGGCTCAGTGTACTCTCCATCCACATACAAACGAGCACTGTCATTTATGAGTGCTGGGTCTAGTAGGTACAGTAAAATAAGTCAAATGAAGTTTTAGTCTTAGGGTACTGTATTTTCATAACAGTGATAATTATAATATCTCATGTGTCTGCCTTTCTCAGCCTCCCTCCCTTCCTTGCTGCCTGCCTTCCTCTAGTGGCTGCCCAAAGATCTGAGGTGCTGGACCCTGGCCTGACGCTGATTCCTATTTCTAATGATTGTGCTCTTTTGTATCTTGTGAGGACAATTATCCCAAGTAATTCTGTGCATGCTAAGGATTAAATTAATAATCATACTTAATAGTAATATTCATAAATGGCACATGCATACATACATGCATTCATACATATGTACAGTCATTCTAATCCCTCATACATAATCCATTCATACATACAGTCAGTCTTCCCCTCTCAGGTCTTAGCACCCGAGTCCTTCCTGTAGCAACTGGAGTGGTGGGCAAAAAGTACTCATTCCTGTGTACTAACCATGTCTCAACAAATGAATAAGCCCTCCACAGTGGAAGATTTGAATGCAGATATTGCTGCAACCTTCAGACTGTCATTGCAGCCTCAGCAAAAGCAAAGGCCCTCAGCTCCCTCTTCCCTCCTGTATGGTGGCTCTCTCTTATTATTAGCTCCCTCTTCCCTGCATCTTTAATGACATCAACCCCTATGACCATAAGTGTGATTTAGCAATTTTTAATCAACTTTAATCTAAACAAATTCAATCAATCACTCAATGAATCCTCAGTGGTGTTTGGGCAATGGCCCTCCCTCTTGACCTGCCCTGTAGGGGTGCTTTATGCAAACTATGGGGGTACGGCTGCCCAAATGGAGAGGAGGGAGCAGGGAGGAGACAAGATGCTTTGCGGGGCTTTTTGTCACCAGGGATACACTCTGTCTTATTGACTAATAGATATATAGAAGTCCCTTCCCTTGGCAATATTTTAGTATCTTCCGCCTTAACATTCTCTGGCATTCTCTGGTGTCAGAACAATTCTGGAGAATGACTAATATTATAGGTACTGTTTCCTCCTGAACATCTGGAATCACACCCCTTTCTATTAGAACCCACTGTTAGGGAATTATCAGATATGTTATCTTTCCCATATTCCCTATCTGTTTTGTTCCAGTGTTTCATAAGTATTTCAATAGGAACTACCTTTCCATTTTTTTCCTTCCCTTTCTCAGGGGTCATAGAGGGGTAGAATCTGTCTGTACTCTCCACACCTCTGGTATACATATCCCTTTCACTGAGTAACTCCTTTGCCTGTCTTCCAAAAGAGACAGCCTAGAGAAAATGCCCTGTTCATACATCCCTGAAAAATCTAGAGTCCATTTCCTTTAGTGAGCCTTTTTCTTGAGTTTCTTCAATATGACAGTGA